ATTCCTGGGACTGCCCAGCCTGTGGTACCCCAGGCTTCACAGGGCCAGCCTTTGTTGGGCCCACTAATTCAGGGTAAGCCTTTGCAGGACCGCACGTTGCAGAATGACATTCCACAGGGTCCGGTAAGAATAGCCCATAGTCACAAGAGCCGCAGCCTTCCAGAATCTTGCTTTAGAAATAAAATGAAGTGCTTCTTTCACTGTGTTAATCCCAAGACAGTAGATGAGGAATCTATGTTCTCTCCAGTGGAAAAAGTGACTAAAACAAGAAAAAAAAGTCTTAAGAAGAGCCTGGCCCCACCTAAAGGCCGTTGGGAGCAAGCTAAGACAGAGATAATAACAGGGGACCCCAAGACCCAATGTCTCCCCAGTGAGAAAGAAGTGAGCCATGTGTTGTTGGATGGCCCCCAGGCCCCGGACAATCAGGTCCGGCACCACTCTAGTCAAGTCCGCTCTGGCTCTCTCTTGGGCCACCTCCACCGTTTCTTTGGCACTGTCCTTGAGAGGCTTGTGCCACCCAACCAGGGAACCCACTCTAGGTTCCAATCCTCACATCAGAGGAGAAGACCCAGTTCATTAAAATAGTTTGTAGGGTACCAAATCCGTGTACCTCTTAAAGAGGACCCATATTGTCATTTTCATTGATGTACAGGTTGGGCAAAGCATAGACCTAATATATCTCTAAGCAAAGATATATGCCTGCTTGCTCTTTCTTGTCTCCTTGTGTTATGTTAAAGCATTAGGGGGGAGGTATATGGTGTTTTCCACTGGAGAATGAACTTAAACCCACAGTTCAGATGTGTTAGCATTGGCCATAACTTCTCCCAGCCTAATCCTGGACTGTAGATAAAGGGACTTGAGTAGAGAAGGCAAGGCCCTTGTCTAAGGTGCATTGAGGGTACAGGTCAGGCTGGAATTCCATCATGGCTTCCCATGATGATCTTGAACCCTATGACAATAGTACTGACAAGAAGGAGCGGTCTGGAAATCAAGGCATTATTGGCTCACCCATAGGCAAAAATCGTTAATCGATGACTGATATATATATATGCCTACAATCTGGAAAAATGTTTTAAGGTGAGTGCCACAGTGCTCCATTCTTGAAGAGGTGCTTTTGTGATTTGACACAAAGCGGTGCTTCTGTGATTTTGACAGATGTCAAAACCAAAATACAGAATCTTCCCTTTCTGCTCCCAGTTTGGTACTAACAAGGTCTTTCAAACAATCTGGGAGCCTGCTGTGGTCCTATTGCTTGTTTCCCAACTCCACTGCCTCTCAGCTGCATGGAAGGAATACCTCCTAGAATGAAGATTAGAGGAGGAGGTGGAGAAGTTTGTCCCCCACTCCTAAGGGCTGGTAGGGAAGGAAGCAGGTAGGGAAAGAATGTAAATGGTAGTATGAATACCTGGGACAGCATGCCATGCTCCTGACCAGGACATTATAATGGAGAAAAGCTGGTTTTTTGGGCATTAAAATGAGTCCAGAGTCAGAAAGTCAACCCACAGCCTAAGTGCTCTTGGTGGAGGGTGGTAAACAAACTCTGAGCTTCATGAGCCTGAGAAAGATCATGGGACTAGAGATGCAGAAACAGGGCAGATGTGGCATCCTAGTGTTCAGGGACCAGTGAGTTTTGGGGCTGGGAACAGAGAATTGGGAAACAAAAAGACAAAGAGGTTGCCCTGAGCATGTGGGATAGGCTAGTATTTTGGCCAGCTAGTATCCCTCAAAAGGTACCATCTCTGCATCCTCCTCTGACTTACCAGAGAAGGCAATAGCTGGAGAAAGAGCAGGAAATGTGGCTTCCTTATGATGTGGTACAGGGGACAGTGGGATACTCCTGCCTCACTGGTTCCTAAGGAAATCCAGGATCACTCACCATCCCATCAAACCAGGACGAGGTGGTGGCTAGACTCACATTCTCTATAGCATTCCATTTCTTAGCACAATGTGTCCACAGAGAGGATGCAGAAAAACCAGGAAGGGAAGAAGCATGGATGTGTCCCTGTTTGGAAAGGTGATTCTGTGCCGAAAGGGTAGGGACCCAGCCCCTAATGTGGCCACCAGAGGAGGCAGGCACAAGCCCTAGGCCTGCCATGACAAATTCTCTAGGTGTTTTCCTAACGCATCCCCAAAGGAGATCAAAGGAGGTCTTGTGGCAGGCACATCCTCCCTGCCTGGCGGGAATTGGGCAGAGAGCCACGGAACAGAGAGAAATAGAAGAAGGCCAGAGTGAAGGGAAGTGACTCAGAAGGGTCAAAACAGCAACAGGTGGGAAGCAAGGGTTAGTGTGCACACATCCTGACTTAGGGTGGAGAAGGTCCTTCCCGTGGTCCCCACAGGCTCCTACTTGCCCCACCCCAGCATAGGCTCAGGTTGCTGACCAAAGTCCTGTGCCAAGGGGCTGGGGGCAGTGAGATGAGCTGGAACCAATACCTTCAGGATTATGAGTTCTCAGCAAAGTCAAGAGCTGAGAAGACACAGGGTGAGAGCCTATGAACTCATGTAGGATGTTGTTGAGGGAACGAAGCCTTGCTCATCATATCCCATAACCCTAGCACACCCCCACCTTCCTCTTCCCCCAGAGCTCAAGAGAGTTAAAATCAGAACAAAACAAAAGCTTCATGGCAGGACACAAACTCCAAAAAGGTAATATATCCCAGAATTGGTGGCAGATGCTAGGAATACATCAGTGCTTACTCAGGATCTTTGGAGTTCACCTCTAGGCCTCTGAGGTAATATGTCACGGTGAACAGCCCTGACTGTCTAGAGCCCTTCCTTTGGGCTCTCTGGATGGGTACTTCAGAATTCTATAAATGTAACTTAGGGGACTAACAGCAGTAAGAGAAAAATGTCTCTTCTCCAACCATCAGTCTTCCTGTTAATTGCTGAGTCCTTGAGGACAGGGACCCTGCCTGCCTCATTTTGTACATGCTCAGACCGTCCCATCCAAGGAAGGCAAAAAACACACTGAGCATAGGAGTGAGAGGGTGAGACCCACTGAGAGAGGTGGCTGGGCCTCTGCTGCTTTACTGGCCATCAAGGCCCAGTGCTCTACCTGTGCTCAGGGGCCTATGGCATTAGCCAGGTCTCTCATGAAATAAAGGACAGACAACCTTGAGCTGGAGTAGAGAGATGGAGAAAGGGCACCATGCAGGCAGGTAAGTGCTGGGAGACAGTACCAGGTCCCTAACAGATCTGGCCGGGCTTGTGAGTAGATCCATTCCCATCCTCAGAGACAGTGAGGTCAGGCCCCTGAATACTTGGTTTGCATGAGAGCACAGGGGAAGAAGGGGCCCTGAGAAGGAGTCAGAGGAAGATAATCTATTCCCAAAAGGAGGGATGGGTTCTGCCAACAGCCCCCCTTCCCCGATTTGTCCCTCTCCTCCACTGTAACCTCTCTGGGTCCATGGTCAGGCAAGGAGCATGCTGGGGGCTTTCCAGAATGTATTACTCCCAAGGTCAAGCCTGTACAGAGGCCACAGGGTCAGGGCCCTGGGCAGATAGCCTGACCCATGGGAATCCAGACTGCGGGAAGGGAAACCTATCTTTGCGGTAAATACTGCTGGCAGCTGGGGTACATCGGGGAGGAGGAGGGGAATAAAGAGAGACGTCAGACTAGAATCTCACACACACAGTGAGTAACACATGGATACACAGACACCCAATTACACATGTACATAAAGAGAAAGACATAGATTCAAGGATGCCACATAGAAATACTACAGAGTACGAAGAGACATGACCAGAAATACACAGTTACGGAGACCCAGGAGCACCCTGGGTCAGACATGCTCAAGCAGACACAGGCACAAACACACATGCACATACAAAGCTGACCTGCACACATAACAAGCAGATACAGCTCATCTTATAGACTCACAAACACAAATGCAGTCCAAATTCATCCTTCAAAGCCCCTTTCCTCCATAAAGCCTCCTAGGCCACCTCAGACCAGGTCTATCTCTCCTTCCTCTAAACTCTGGTTTGTAATTTCTGTTCCACTGCTTGTCCTTCAATAGGGACAGTCTTGGATTCACGTGCATACCCCCAGTCTCAACTAGTTGGCTGTGTGCTCTTAAAAAAATGTCAAGGGCTTGCAGTGAGTCTACTGCCCTCATCAAGCAGCTTCATCCTTCACCTACAGACCCATGTACACAAGGGCCCCCAATTTACTGCTGACTCCATCCCTGCAGAGTCCTGGCCCCTGGCCCCTTTGACACAGCAGATAGAGACACCAAGGGAAGAACAAATAAGACAGACAAACCCATCAAGGGCACTTTCAGGGAACCATGAAGATGCAGGTCCTCGTTGCCCAGGAGGGAGACCATGACACATGGCATGACTACATATGTAGTTCTAGACCAAATTTTAATGTTAACCACAATCCCACCCCTATCAACTCTAACCCCTACTCAACCCTATTCCAGAGAAAATTCTAAACCAACAGTGCTGCTTTTAAGTACAACCCTTGGAACAAGTATACCTCAGGAAGGTAAGAAATTAATTCCAAAAAACCTGAGTGAGCTTGGAAGTGGATTCTTCCACAGTCAAGCCTCCAGATGAGAATGCAGCCCAGCCAACACCTTGATTGCAGCCTTGTGAGACCATAAGCAAAGGACTAAGATAAGCCATGCCTGTACTCCCGACCCACAGAAAATATGGCATAATAAATGTGTGTTGTTCTAAGCCACAGTTTGTGGTACTTTGTTATGCAGCAATATATTTGTTATGTATATAACAAAGCAATACTTTGTTATACAACAGTGCTAATATACTGTTGTAGCCATGAGGGCAAGGGAAGACTATCCTGATGTGTCTGTCAGGCAGCTTGGAATATGTACATGTACAAGGCAAACTCAATCTCTGTAAAGTACTTGCTTAAAGTGCAGTGGGATTATTTACAATGGCAAGTGTTGATAGGAGGAAGGGGAGGCTTCTCCACAGCAGGAGCTAGGGAAAAAACAGGGAAAGAAAAAGCGTCTAGGAACCCTTCTCCTTCAGCTCTCTATAAAGATAAGTAGCTATAGAGAGTCTATAGCCCTTCTAATAGGTCGGGGCTCCCTCATCCTGCACGTTAAATGTAAAGTAATCTTGAGTGCCTTCATTTGATAGTTGATATGAGAGTGGCATACGTTAGAAAAAGCTTAAAAAAAAAACAAAACCAGACCAAAAACCTAACAGTGATCTTGTAGAAGGTGGGAGGGTTTTCCTGGCAGTAATAAAGTAAAAGAAAACTCAGAAAAGGGAAGCAGGGGGAAGCAATCCAAATCAGTAGGTTTAACAGGTCGCTCCAGATTTTGTTTGAGCTCAGGAGGGAGGAACAATCTAAATAGTTCCTGCTGTGCTGCCTTACAAAGAGCAAGTGTTCAATAAATATTTGTTGAATAAATGCTGCAAAGATGATTGGAGAAAACAAAGGGTTTACTTGAGATCACAGTGCCAGTATCCTTTCACTAGTTTAAGTGGGGCAAAGGGGCTCATCAGACCAAATCTTCAGAACTTGTTTCTAGAAACTACACAGTCATCAGCTCATCATATCCACTCTCCTTCCTCAGAGGTGGAGCCTAAATAGTGCTTCAAGGCTAGCCGGAATGAGAACAGGTAACCCATACAGTAGCTATGGATGATTTCTCTGACCATAGGGAGAGCTGCTAAATTTTGGGATTTAGCCAGTTTCCACAACCACAGTGATAAGAGGATACCAACATTACCAAAGTCAATGGTCCCCTGCATTTATGCTGTCCTGTGGCACTGTGTCCTGGACCACAGGAAAGCAGCTGGCCTAAAGGTACTGTTACAGATCGAATTGTGTTCCCAAAAAATGTATGTCAACTTGGCTAGGCCATGATTCCCAGTATTATGTGGTTGTCCTCCATTTTGTGATCTGACGTAATTACCGTATGTGTTATAAATCCTCTATGATGTTAATGAGGCAGGATTAGAGGCAGTTATGTTAATAAGGCAGGACACAATCTACAGGACTAGGTTGTATCTTGAGTCAATCTCAAATGTGTTGAGATACAAAAGAGAGAAGCAGAGAGGAGGGGGACCTCATCACCACCAAGCAAGAAGAGTAGGAGTGAAGCACGTTCTTTGGACCCGGGGTCCCTGCACTGAGAAGCTCCTAGACCAGGGGAAGATTTATGACAAGGACCTTCCCCCAAAGCCGACAGAGAAAGAAAGCCTTCCCCTGGAGCTGGCATCCTGAATTTGGACTTCTAGCCTCCTAAACTGTGAGATAATAAATTTCTCTTTGTTAACGCCATCCACTTGTGGTATTTCTGTTATAGCAGCACAAGATAACTAAGACAGCACTAACCAAAAACTTGAAAATGCATCTCTTCTGTCTGTCCTGGATTTGATCTGGAAGAATGTAGCACAAGTGGCCCTTTTATATAAGGGTAAAAGTTTGCAAGGTAGCAGACAACTGGCTTCTAGAAGCATATGCCTCAGGAATAGCAACTTAATCTAACACAGATGACCAAAGGGCTTTGGAAAATCAGCATAACGAGCCTCTAAAAAATTTAGCATACACACGTACACATTCCGAGTGTACAGGGCACATTTGGGTGATTCAGATCAAATGAAGCTAGAAGTGTTGTCAGTTCACCCAAAGGTTATGGACAAAAGTAATTTGGCACAGTAACGGCAGGGGGGCTAAGAATGTGGCTGCCAGAAGAGGGAAAAAACAGTAATTGAGTTTCGGTGTCACCTTTGAAAAGGCATAAAACCGAAAAACCAAACCAGTTGCCATCAGGTCGATTCCAGCTTATGGTAACCCCATGTGTTTCAGAGTAGAACTGCACTCCATAGGGTTTTCAATGACTGTGACCTTGCAGAAGTACATCGCCAGGCCTCTACGTGGATTTGAACCGCCAACTTTTCAGTTAGTACTTGAGCCTTTAACCATTTGAGCCGCCCAAACTCGTTTCTGTTGAGTCGATCCCGACTCATAGTGATCCTACAGAACAGAGTAGAACAGCCCCATAGGGTTTCCAAGAAGCAGCTGGTGGATTTGAACTGCCAACCTTTTGGTTAACAGTCTAGCTCTTAACCACTGTGCCACCAGGGTCCTTGAGCCACCCAGGGACTCCATAATATACTTTAACTCCTATACATAACTGCAAAGCTGTAATTTTCCCCTTATTTCTCTTAATAACTGGCTATATATGAACTCAAGAACAAGAAACATTTATTTAGCATAGTGCCTAACAAGTTGGTAGCACCTAGTAAATATATGTGGGTCTCTGAGGGGATTCCTGGAAAGGGGGGGATGGGGATGAAGGGGGAAGTTGTAATGGGAAAGATAATCATGTCTCCAGCTAGACACTGATGGTCTTGGTTTCTTGGTCCAAAGCTTGTGAGCAATTTCTGTCAGAACTTGGCCATTAAGATCCAAGTGTGGAGTAGATAATGACATTCCTATTAGAAATGAGTCAATCAGTCTGGGAAATGGGGATACCAGAAACCAAGCAGCTCTGCTGAAGACAGACATGTGAAATTAGAAGACAAAAGATTTCGAAGTTGAAGAGAAAGGAAACTATTTGCATAAATAAGATCCATTTAGGAGCTGGTATACTAGAAAAAATACGTGAAGAGTACAGGAAATGGGCCTCGGGAGGTCCTCTTGTTTACGTTTGAAGGGGGTGTCATATATATATGACAAAGTAGAAGAATAAGAATGTGATCAGAGAATATGTGGAAGATCAGACGCTGAGAAATCCAGGCAATAAGGAATATTGGTCAACTTAGAAATGAATATATTCAAATGGAACTGGGGTAAGCTATTCTCTCTACATTTATTTCCTTTCCTTTTTTTTTTTAAAATAATATTGTTTTTATTGAAACTTTACACAGCAAATTAGGTTCCCATTTGACAATGTCTACACAAATGTTCAGTGACACTATATTTTTCATAATGTGTTAACATTGTCTTTGTGTTCTAGTTGTTCCATTTCCAGTACTCTAGTTTCCCTGCCCCGTTATCTTGTCATCTTTGCTTTAGAGTAATCGTTGACCTTTTGGTCTCATATAGTGTTTTTTTTTTT